TAGTTCATTGATTATACTCCCCTTACCCCCTTCCCCGCCCGTGAAGTAGTATTGAGACACGGAGTTGTGTGATCGTTTCCTTCGGTCTTCTGTGCATGATCTATTTTGTGAATGATCGTGATCGAATTTTTTTTCCATTCCACATCGTTCTTTTTTCTGATCAAATGAATTACGATCAAACGTGCCACACCGTTGATATATTTGATACAAACTCATTCACGGAGATACGATCAAGTTTCTCAATACACCAGTAGCACTCGTGGGTGCCTCTTCGTGCTTTCTGTCACCGGTATTCATTCAGATTCCGTTTCCACCGAATGCTGATCAGTTCTGGCTAAAATTTATTGACTATTCCCATCTGACTATTGACAATATTTTAAGTAAAATGAACGCACCGATTTCACCTTTCCCCCAGATGAACTTTGATCCGGTTTCCAAACGCTTCTTCTCAACCATATTGGATATTTTTGAACTCGGATTAAATGTCCCGAAATCGCCCCCTCCCTTGAGACTGAGCTCAGTGTAACAGACTGCGAAGTAGTAGAGGGGGATAAGTGCCCTTTACTCAGAACTAAGATAAAAATCATGCCAACAGAAATAATCTGGAGTGACATTTTGGTCTGTGGGCTTTGTTGTAAAATGTTTATTCGTCACATGGTGTGAACTGGCCAGAAGTGACACGTGCACGTTTCTACAGCTGAAGAATTCCCTATGGTGTAGAAGCAAAATCTGTCTAAAGACGAATATACTAGTTTTCTTCGCTATACGACTGTAAAACCTGGCCACTTAAAGTCGAAGACTGTCGATGATTAGAAGTCTTCGATCACTGGTACCTAAGAATCATTCTGGGAGTTCTATGAAGGGATTGACTCTGGAATGAAGCCATCAGAAACCGGTACCTTGATCTGATACGGCTGCGGACGCTACTACAACAGCGGCGACTACAATGGTCTGGTCACATACTTAGTAAATCCGATAACGACCTGACCAAATCTGCCTTGGAACCGCCTACCTGCCCGAAATGTCGCTGTCGACCTGGTGACCAAGTGAAAACCTGGCTAGACACGGTACGCAAGGATACAAAAAGCCTTGGTCTCCGCTCCGTCCACGGCAGTCGCCAACAAAAGTCAATCTAGATCACAATCTGTGCTGATCCCGCCGCAGACCGCCGAGCATGAGTAGCGGCAATTCGGGGTATCCATAAAGCTTATCATATCCCAAGAGCCAGTCATCGTAAAAAAGAAGAAGTATTAGACAGTCGTTCTCTTCCTCTTGTTAAAATTTATATCACAACTCAAACTGGAAACTGTTGTCATCACAGCTTGTTCCTCTTCCTTGTTGCGGTATAGGTGGTCAAACGGCAGCTATCAAGACCACCATGTGTGGTTACTGGTTTCTTAATTATTATTATTATTATTGCTGTTACTCACTTCGATTTCCTTACTTCGATTTTCTTTCATTAGTTTAATACACTAAATTTTATTTTTGATGCTACCCTGTTAATTTTCTCGATCAGGTCAAAAAGCTCATGGAAGAAGCGGTTGTTCGGAGCTATGTTCACGAGGAAAATACCATAATCACAACCCTGTGCGGTAAGTTTGGATAGAGTAGTTAGTGGTCGTTACTCTTCAATTTATCCGTTGGTTTTGCGAGGGGACTAATAACATTCTTGCAACACCCCCGGCATTCCTGTCCTTCTTTCCGCTCCTTTTTTCTACCTGGTCTGTAGGCAAACAAACATTTGTTTAACTAAAAGGGAGAAATAAATAAATACGCAAGGAAGTAACAAATATTGAGCATAGAAAATCGCCCGTTTTCACTAGTTCATAGTCATACCTCGTTCAAAATTCACTTCCTGTCAGAAATTCCCAGTTTGTCGAATCAGACATATATTTGGAGAGCACCGGAATACAATTGCACTCCTGATACACTTCGGCACTGGCGTACATCCACCGTCCCCTTCCGGGATTTGAACTGCGAACCTCTCACACAGCAAATTTGTTTGTTACCGTTGTTCCACTTAGTTCACACCGAGGTTGATTAAGCTTACCGATTCATGCAGGTTCGGACAATCCTATCCAATAAACTCTGCGAGGGGAAATGTTTGTCGATCCACTTTTAACTCGCCGTTAATTGCGAGCAACTTTGCGTGCACTTTGTGGATACTAATCACAACGCGAACATCAGCGAAGCGTTCCAAACTGATGTATAGACAACAAAATTGGACCGTCAGAATCACCGTGAAGGCATTTATCTCCACATACCCGTGTGCGCTTTCAAAATCCGTTTATCCACGCATTTTGGCTCCTTCGGGCTGACTTAAAATAAGCGAGCGGTTCCTTAGCGCACAAACCCACTTCCGTAATGGGAAACAGTGGTGACCCAGACTGTGTGAAAACTCGGTCTACCGTACCCCTCGTGAACCCCTATATTGTGTTGTACTGATATAATTACCAAGCGTCATAGACAAGCCTGTTTGCGACGTTGTTTCGGTGTTATATTTTACAGGGGGACTGGTTAAACATTTGAAACAAATATCGTGGTTTACCGGTGTGCTTTGGACCTTATGGTTCGAAGTTCGAGCCCCGCCACCATCATCTCCACCCAACTTTGGTGGTAGGCAGCTTTGCTGCCGCCCTGTTCAACACCACACCTAACGTAGTGGAGCCTTATGTGGTTCGCCACTCCAAGTCCCGGAGCTTAGGTTATCTGTTTCCACCAGTGAATAGCAGGTCCTCGTGACTATGGGGTTTACCCCGTCTGCTGTTCATCACACTAAAGAAGTGCGTAGTAAAAAGTATTCTCATGCAACACCCTCTCCTATTCGAATTTACTGAACTCGTTTAATTTAGGCATAGCGGCTGTTAGCTGGGAGGATAGTGAATAATAGTAGTTTTCACTATCTCTCTTTCTTCATCCCCGTAATCCCTTTTCATCATACTTCTTTGTACTTCGGCGGTGCCTTACTAATCCCTGTTTTATGATGCTGGTCTTAGTTGGTGACCTCTGACTGACGTGTTGCACAAGAGTTCCAGTCAGTTTTTTTACAATCAACGTCATCTATCATGTTATCGTGACCTCAGTTACTTGTCCGAGATCGTGTGTGAGTTGTCGTGATTTGAATTTGTTACTTATGGTTACGCGGTCTGATGGTCGAGACTAGACGCACGTGGAAGTGTACCGGCGTTGACAAGAAGCTATTTACTCATAGTTTTCCCCGAATTGGGTCGAGTTTTCATGTCAATCTCATACTCTTTAAACGCAGAATCAATAAACTGGATTTTACGTGAATGTTCCCCTACTCTCCCCTTTACAGTATGCCCATGGGGACTTCCCCGTTTTCTGTAATTCACCTTGTATAATAAAAAAAGACGCAGCCTACGCTTTTGTACAGAGCACATCCTAGCAACTGAGTTACCAGACCACAGCGACAACGCTGATGTTTTCAAATCGGAATCATTCCCGTAACTTATAGGTGCATATGTAATCCATATGTAATTCAATATGTAATCTGTTCATGATCATACATTTTCCTCATTTTAACGAACAGTACTGTCCATGTGACCTCGTAGCTCAGCTAGTACAGCGTGCGTAGATAGGTGGAATCCATGTGTGGGCTCCATCCGTATTGTGAATACTGATATTTTCACAATAAATATTTATATTTTCACACACGTCTGAATCCAGACTGTGTGCCAAACAAATCGTCGTACAATAATCATTATGAAAGAGAAAGACGTTCCATGATTTGCATGTGGGCGGAATACTGCCAGGTTGCCCAGACCAAGGCCGGTGAATTCTCTTGAGGAATCCACAACCGGAGCCTTCGGTTAGCCAAAGCCTAACCGGCAAGGCAGCGGAGTGGTGGTAGAAAACCACAATCCATTGGGGGCTGGGGTCCAGTTCATCGGATCATTCGCCCTTCGGACGGGGTCAAACGTCCCAGGTGCCCAATACATCTCGACGCCCAGTCGAACCGGTGACCACAACCGCTACAACCGGGAAGGTGTGACTGTTTCGTACGCCTCTTCTTAGTTGGTTTGGAATCAAGGTTTTTGGCCAACTCCCCTAAGTGAATTGCCAGTGGTCCACCGATCCGGTTATAGCCCCGGATGTCGGCTATTCGTCCCCTCACTTTGGTGGGACAACACCTCCGTCCCACGAGAAGGCAGTGAGTAGGGCTTCCTCAACAGTGGCTGTTTGAGACGCTTGGTTGTATGGGAGTATTTGGCGAGGTGCAAGGGGAGGGTGACTAGCCGCAACTCTAGACACCCACCCCCGACTATACTGAGGCTTTTGGAGGCTTTTTTCACAATTGAATCTTAGGGTATGCATAGTACACTTTGGGTAATCTTTCCGTGCGGATGGTATCTGGCGGTTCGGCTGATAGATCGGAAAACGATAGAAGTGATGTTCGTGTTGCACAATAAGTAGTATCTAAATGATGTGATGAAATTTCCCTGGAAGCAAATGATCCATTTTATCTATTTGATCGCTCATGCCATTTCTCTCGTTGTCTTGTTCTAACTGGCTTTCGCATCCCTGTGTGCAGTTAATCACCACCGTGGCACACGACTTCCGTCCGTGTGCCCTGGTAGAATTAACAAGAGGGGTCTAGTTCGATTTGCCAAGTATGTAACTTAAGTGTAGTTGGTAATTGCATCTTGTTCCTCTTGAAAGTATTGGCTGCCTCTTTTTCCCACACCAGCCCCGTACTATAACTCATTGACTGCAAAGCTCACTTTTAGTCAACGATTAGTTTGTGACTTCCTGAGCGTGAGTAGGACCGGAACTACTCAGTTGAGCTGAATCATCCATCACATTGCGAAAGGTTTTACGATTGATCAGCAAACAGTCTCAGTTGAGATTCGGTAGAGCGTTTGCGATAGTGAATCAAATTCAAAGTAGAGGGACAGCTGATAGTCAAACTATAGAATCTGTTGTAGTGGGCTGCCTAAGACTTGGTGGTGGTGGTATACAGCTAGGTGACAGCCGATTCTACGATGATGAATCATAGGTGTGCTACCTCCATATAAGATTCTTATGTTTCGTCTGTGTAGCCGGAGTGGATAGTGCTTGTAGTAAAACATGTAGTAAAACAACTTGGGTATCAGTATCATTTATTTATCCAGCTGTTTGAAATCCACCGACTACTTTTGTGGGAACAAATTGTGTAATTCCCCCTCTATCATAAAAGTGATCTATGTGGAATAGTGATATTAAAACTTTACCTTCCCTAGACTTTGAACTCATCGTCATTGTTTATAGGTACAAGTTGCTGTCTTTTATATTCCCGTGGTTCGTTGTTCCGCTACTCGTTAAAAGAATACTTGCTGGTCATCATGCAGCTCAGTGAAATTTCGCTACAATTGTGTTCGCTTAGTAAGATTGAAATACGCAAAGCCGTAGTCTTGCGTTTATGATCAGAATCGCAGGTATGCTCACCGTTTTTGCTTGACAAGACCTAAATGATTTTCAAATAGAACAAGGAGTGGCGAACAAGCTCGTTTTCAGTGATTCGTAGTCATGCCAAATACATCACAATAAATATTATGCTGTTTATATATAAATCGGTATACAATCATAAAAACGTAAACAAATGTTTGGGGAAAGGGAAAATAACCTCATGGGTTATCTGGGTTCATCTTGGGACCTAAATGATTGGTGAGTAAAACCTGTTGTAATGAGATGCTCAGGTATTCACTGAGGTTGGATTATCTGAGTTTCTGATTTACGCCACAACTGAAATTAGTATCGTTTGCTGGACGACAGATATCAGATTATAAAATTGATCAGACGAACATCTTCACGGCTTCTATCAGAAAGCATTGCATAATCGAGAAGAATTTACAACTCGGTAATCCAGAGAGTAACGGAGACACGCAGTTATCTATAATGTTTTCCTTTCGAGTGGTTCATGTCGGAGAACTGGAAACACGCCCTTTCGCAACCGATACCAATGTTGTTTCGCTGGTAGTGGTTTAGTCGCGTTCAACGACGTCCGTTGACCCCTTTCTCTCATGGTCTTCCCGGGGCTGTCACTCATAGTCACTGCTGTCGAAATGGACTCGACCATTCTGATAATGCGTCTCCTGTGGTTCATTTTGAGGATACCGGATAGCCATCCACTTGAGTCTGTGTTTAAGTTGTCACGCGAAAGCTTTTAAAATCAGTTAATTTCAGGCAGTTAAAATGACCCACAAAAATTGAGTAAGAAATTCAACAGTTTTTTTAATTGCAATGTATTGCAGTTTTATGTTACCGGTGGTTGATTGAGTATCTCAATCTCCCTACTCTATTACTCTTGCTTCCTACAGCTTCAATAGACGCCGTTTTGTCCTATGGAATACGCCAGAACATGTTCACCTTCTTCGATGACTCCACACTGTCCCTTTGTCGCCGTATCGCTAAATTTTGTCCACCCGCGCAACATGTTCTGGATCGAATGGACTATCATCGCAATACGATGCAATTTCTTCCGAGACATTCTGCAATGGCGGCCACCCCGAATGGTACGCTGTCCCGAACGGGGAAACTTGCACAGAACACATCCACACAATTTACTGGTCGATTAAACGGTACGGGGGACAATTTGGGCTCCAGCTCGACCACGCCTGCCACACAACGAAACGGTCGCCTTGGTCGAACAGTGTCCTTGCGTTCCACTCCGGTGTAAGTGTAATTCACACGTAATTCATACGAGCCTTCTCCCCCCCTCGCACTCCCCGTCTGTTGGTGAGGGGGGGGGGTAGTTGCAGGGTGGCTTCATCGTTGCATCTTCCTTTTCTGCATTTCACGCTTGCGTGACAACAGAACAATACGATATTATAAATACTCCTTACAATTTGCTAATTTTTTGTTTTCGATTTCTTCTATTCTATCACACACATTGCTGTGTTTTGATGCAGCACATTTGACTTCACTATCACCACACGGACGCTTTGTGCACTTGGCGAATCCCCCATCGTTCACACATTCTTTCCTCGAAGATTTCGTAATTTCCATATTGATTTCACATCGGTGGACACCGAGATCGAATATAACGAAATAACCATAGCGATGTGATTCTCTGATTACCCAATCGGTAATGCCTATCGGCAAAACCATATTCTACTCATGATCTCATAGAAAAGAGTCAGACGAAGTGGTTGAACGATTTTAAATTTGTCTCTACTTCTCGCTCTGAAATAAATGTTAATGAAATCATTGATCACCACGAAAAGTTGCTTTCAACTTTCCTTCATTTGCTAAACAGCTTGTGTTGGGTAGTTTAATTAACTGAATGTCACCGGAATCCAACTGGGCTCGTATGTCGTTCGTCATTTCAGGCCCCTCGCATATAAATGTGTTGCACTTCTGAGTCCAGATTGTGTGTCAGACAAATCACAGTACACTAATCTTTATGAAGAAAGAAAAAAGTTCCATAATTTGCTAATGAGGGCTAAACGGTCAGAATACCCAAGGCAAGACAAGTGAATTCTTTTTGTAGGATTCACAGTCAGAGCCTTCGGCTAACCAAACTCTGACCCGCAAGGCAGCGGGGTCGTGTGGGTGAAATCCGCAATCCATTGGAGGGGGAGGGGGCAACGTCCAGTGAACCGGATTATACGCCATTTGGACAGGATCGCGCAACCAAGGGACCCAATACACTTCGATACCCAAACGAGCCAATGACCATTGTCACAACCAGGAAAATGTGGGTGTGGTTTGTGTGTCTTTTCTTGCTTGGTTTGGAATCAGGGTTTTCAGTCAACTCCCCTAGGTGAACTGCCATTGGTTCACCAACCCAATTATAGCCTCGGATTTCAGCTTCCCTTGCACTCACTTTGATGGGAAAACATCTCCACCACGTAAAGGCAGGGAGTAGGGCTTCTTCATCAGAAGCTATTTGAAACGCTTACTCGTATAGGGACATTTCGTAAGGTGCAAGGGACCAACCACCCAGTTGTTATGAGTAAATAGTTGGCCCTCGGTGTTTACTGACTGCTATTCATTACATACAAAGTGTGCCATAGAAAGAAATCTTCAAACTTTTCTTCTTACGCGACCAAGATCATTAATAGAAGAACTAGCTTACAGACACACACACACACACAGAGACACACCTATCTTGACCAACATTTCATTCTAGTCTACTATGGTTAATCATCGGAAAATGCCCGATATCCACTGTTCCAACCATCTGATCTAGACACGTGAATATGTCATGCACACATTCGAAAAGTAATCTCGTCACGTCACTGCACATTCTACACAACATTTTAATGCTCCTTGGGTCGCGTGACTGTGAGAACTTATACCTTTGTAACTAAGGTGCGTCGGATCTGTTTTCATGCATGCATGGAGGACGGTTTGAGAACTAACGGAGTGCACAATCAAATCCGAGTAAATTCCATTTTTTTTCTCCCTTATTAGTCAATTTCACCAAAACATTTTAACCGTTAATTGGAACACATCAATTCTCACACACGGATTTGCAGACGATCAATACACGACTATGTTTCATGTCTTATGCACTGATATTTCAACCGTATCTTTGTTGTTAGATTCTGCGATTTCATCACACTGTCATTAGGGGAGACCAATTGTACTGTTACTTAGTCAAATCAAATATCGATGTTCTTCATATGGACCTGACCCAACCCATTTTCCGCTATGCTCAGTTCGAACACGACAGATCCAAGATCCAAGACCCTTTGGATTCGAGTTGCTTTATTGGAAAAGATACTGGATAAAATTCTTCTCTATTTGGCATCGAATGCAAAGTAAGTTACTTTATTTACTTTTCTCACACCCGAACTGATCATCTGTGCAAAACGTTGTCAATCCATCATATATGTATATATATATCATAATAAGTAGTATGTGAATGACTGGACAAGATTTCCCTTGAAGCACACGACCAGTTTCGCAATTCTAGCCACTCGTCAGGCGTGCGTATCCGGTAATCTTTTGCCAGTTCATTCGTATACTTGTACCCAAGAAGTGTATTTTCGTCACAATAACCTTGTTTGCAACACCGGGGGACTTATGGATAGACAACTCAGAGCCAGTCCATTGAAGAATCAGTGCTATCATTCACTGTTTTTTGAAGGTGGATTAGATGCTACTAACCCCGACAAACGTGACTTGATCTTCTTTACAGAATATTTTATAATAAGTAGTATGTGAATGATTGGACAAAATTTCCTAGCCTTATCCGACTATGTTTTTCGATGTGAATTGCGACGTATGAACCTGTGAAAAAGTAGCTCATATTAGGCCTTCTCTCCGGGTGTAAGTCAGTTACTTGGCTTTCATTCTCTTCCTCGGATGCACTCATCGTCTGTCTCCGTGTTCAAGCAGGCACAACGAACGCAGTGCATCAGTCCCAACCATGCCCTGGCTCTCTAGCACACACACCCACATCTGTACTTGTGCAGACTGTATCGATCTGTTTTTTCACTGGCATTCAAAACAACGGTATCTGCCATACTGTCAGTGTCAACGCCAGGAAAAAAATCCGTTGCACCGTCACTTTGTTGTTTTTATTGGTGATGTTTCAGATCTCACGTTCAATCACTGCGGTACTTCTTGTGTGTGTGTGTGTGTGTGTGTGTGTGTGTGCAGTTGAGAATTAACTGGTTTCTCATATTGTGCTATAATCATATATAGATATATATTTTTGTACAAAGAGTACTATACCGATGACTGGACAAAATTTCCCTGGAAGCACACAACCAATTTCATGTTTCTTGCCGCTCGTCAAGATTGCGGATCCGGTAGTCTTTTTTACATGTATACACTTGTACCCAGTAAGTGTATTTTCGTCACAATAACCTCATTTGCAGCAACTGGTAAATTTGTTTGGACAGCTCTTTCAGAACTAATCCACTGATGAATGCATATTGTAATTAGATGTTTTGCAGACAAAAGATCAGCAGATACGCATGCCTGACGAACGGCAAGAACCGCGAAACTGGTCCTGTGCTTCCAGAAAAATTTTATCCAATCATATCACTTATACTACTAATTACGAAATACTCTATAAAGACGATCAAATCCGATTTGTTGCGGTTAGTAGCATCTCACCCACTTACAAAAAAATTGAATCATAGTATTGATTCTTCGATGGACTGGCTCTGAAAGAGTCGTTCCTCCAATATTACTCGGTATTGCAAATGAGCGTTTTCTTAAGGTATTTTGAACAACTGTGCTACCGTTGTTTTACCGAAGACGTCAAAGACTGCTCGTATCTGGATCTGAAGACTTCCTTGTGACAGATTTGGTAACCTATTCACTCCTATTCGTCACGTCATAGTTAGACCTTCTCCGCCCTTCTTATTTCCTGGATCAGGGTGCGCTAAAAGAGCGAGAACAGGCAACTGCTATTCGGGTATTCTAAGCACAGATATAATCGATCGGATAATGAGTTTGAGGGAACGGCTCGTGTGGCACACCGTCTTCTGATGTACTTGATCTTTGCCGATGTGGATACCCCACCAAATCTAAGTGATAGTACGAAGAAATAAGTTGTGTAACCGCTGAATCCCAACATCTTTAACACGACCTGGATTGATTTCATATCGAGGCAACAATGCTAAACGCACTGTTTCGCTATACACTCCGCTGTTAAGGTCAAGACTCATGTCGTATTACCTCTTTCGAGAACAGATTAATTCACACTCTGTGAGCAGAACTTTTACCGGTCGTGAAACGTGGACTCCATAGGGGCAGAGCTGTAAGGCGATCAGTTCTCTATTTTTTTTTTTATCATCATTGGTACATACCTGCGCTTGAACCAACTCAGTCGGTTCATCAGATTCTCGTGACTGACCTCAATTAGACCTCTAAACTTTTATTCATTCACCTGTTTTTGATCGATTTTTCTCTCCAACTTGGTGCATCACTCTTTTCGAATGCTTGTTAAAAATTGTTTCCGGCTGATTCTATGCTGTCTTATGGACTAGCTATGAGCTGGTGTAGACTTCCACTTCAGTCGGCGGGGTTCACAATTCAGGAGCACTTTTGCCGGGAACGACTTCGTGTGAATTGTTTAATTCTGATGTATAAAATCTCTTCTATATCCTCATTTCTTATTTATGATGTCCCTTTTTTTCTTTTCATCCGTCCCCAATGAAGTCGATATTACGAAAAATATGCAATTATGGCAGATCCGTGTGATGGAATGCTCATCGCCGACTTATTACGTGAGTATTTCTTCAAATAGATGATCTGTATTCATTTTCACCATCTCTCTCTCTCTTCGTCGTTATTCTATTCGTGCATATGAACACCAATGAAAATCTCATAACTGAGCTTTCGCGTAAACCTCAAGACCATCATGAATGCCTGGTGCCCCTGAACAATCGAATGGGCTAATCCAAGCTTGANTTGACCCGTTCGCACAAGGTGATGACCGTCGACCGTGTAGCTCAGGGGTAACGGTTCGAAGTCCCGACTCGAATGTCCGAGTTGTGACAGGGACACAAAAAGTACACAGTGCTGACGAGTCCCAAACAGGAAGAAACAGCTGTCCAGTGCTCTTTGTCGGTTATCACAAACATTTCCATCGCACTCTATGGATTTTGCTTTGCACCCTAACCCCGAACACAATGTAGATAGTTTTTGTGAAAGGAAATCGTCTATATATGTCGGAAATTCCATTTTCGTCCGTATTCTATCTTGGCGTGCACGTTTTCTTTAATGCGTTCCCTTCCATTTTCTCATCGACTCCGACTTGATTGCCCGCGC